GAGTTTGGGGGTGCAGGCGCTGGGTGCGGGGGGGGTGTGCGTGCACACCTCGGAGGTGTGGTGTCCCCGTGCCAGCGTGCCAGGTGTGGGTCCCCCTGCGTGCGGGTGACAGGAGCAGAGCTGCCTCCGCGTGTGCGCGGGGGGCTGTGCCGGGCGCCTGTCTGTGGGGTGTGCCGGGGGTGTGTGTCCTCTGTGGGGCTGCATCCCCCTGTGTGTGTGTCTCCATGTCCGTGTGTCCTTGCACGCCTGTATTTGCACGTGTGCCCGTGTACAAGGCCGTGTCCACGTGCAGGGGGGCATCTGCATGGGGGTGCCCATGTCCCCGTGGGTCTGCACACCCACGTGCGGGGTGTGGAGCTGTGCCACGTGTGTTCCCTGGTGCCCGCGTGTGCCCAGGCACGTGTGCCGGTACGTGTGTGCTGCCAGTGCTGCGGTGCCCTGTGCCCTGGGGGTGTCGTGGTGCCCGGGTGCCACTGCGAGGACGACTCAGCCCCAGTGCGGGCTCCCCAGAGAGGCTGTGCTCTCTCCGTCTGGGGAGGGTTTCCAGATCCAGTGGGACCCAGTCGTGAGCAAACTGGTCTGACCCCGCTGGGAGCAGGGGGTCGGACTGGAGACCCCCTGAGGTCCCCTCCGATGCCGGTGCCCCCGTGGGCTGAGCGCCTGTCTCGGGTATCAGCGTGCTCTGTGCTGCGTGGGGCAAGGCAGCGTCCCTGCCCGCTGCTCTCCGGGGCACAAAGCCCCCCTCGGCGTCCTTGGGAAGCTACCAGGACCAGCGCTCTTCTGTTGCCCCTGCACAGACCGCTTTGGTCCCCGAATCTCTCATCCGGGCAGAAAACCGCTTTTCTGCAGACTCCAGCCCGTTTTACTCCGTGGCTGCTGAGAAGATTGGCTCTTCAGGAGCAGTCGCAGCAGAAACAGGTCATGGGGTGGAAGGGGGGGACACGGTCCTAAACGCACAACAAACACAACGTTACCCATGGCTCTGTAATTTAGCAGGCTACTGCTGCCTGTAACGGTATTTATCATAGCACTCTCTTAGATTAGATTAACATTAGGGGAAATTTGTCTTGTGATTACTAAATATAATCGAAAATTGCAGTCTTCTTTGGTAAAAGGTGATAATAACAATCAGAGCTAGCAGAGAAATGAAGTAGGTCTTATAACATTAGCAAGCATTTAGGCGGACCTTATGGCAGCTTCTTTGCTAAGTCCAGTAAGGCAGAGACTTCTCAGTAGCCTGCTAAATTGGCCATATAAACTCTGAAGATGCATGTGTTTGTCCATTAATTTTCAGATGCATGCGTGCACACCAGATTATTTGTGGAAAAGTTCTACTTAAAAAAAAACAACAAAAAACCCCAAAAAACCCCAAACAGATTTAGAAGCCGGGGAGTTGCCTTGGCAGGATGAGCACAGACTGCCCGGGAGTGGGGGTTTATTCGCCAGCCCCAGAGAAAGCTGCCGCGGCAGCCCAGCACGGAGCCGCTGTGCTTCTGCCCGGTTCAGGGGGGATTCACGCGCCTGCCCCGGGGCCTGGGCGGCCGAGGGACGGGCAAGGGACAGCCGAGGGACAGCCACCGCGAGGGAGGGAGCTGAGGGGGAAGAGGGAAGGTCCTGGGGCATGAAAGGACCAAAAAGCAGTCTGTCTGCTCTGCCCTGCCTTTGCTTTGGGACTTGCTGTTGGGTCATTGGGGACAGAAGCTGCAGCATCCGAGATGACAAAATGACCCCAGGCAGGTGGCAACCAGCTCCTCGGGTGGGTGGCCATGCTCAGGGGCCTGGGCTGGAGGGGCCACATCTCCCAGCCGTGGGTCCTCCCTGCAGCGCCGGGGCTGGCCGCGTCCTGGAGGCCAGGAGATCTGCCAGCAGCTTCGCCGAAAGGTTTGGTGGGGCTGTTTCAAAATGAGGGGGGTGCTTGTTCCCAGCGCGCAGTGTGTCCTGCTGCATGGAGGGAGACGGCCGTGGCGGGAAGCAGAGGGCTACCGAGACACCGTGAGTCACATGCAACCTTCCCCAGGCTCTCGTGACCCCTCCTGGTAGCTCCCCTCTCAATTAGGAGAGCGTTGGCAACAAGTGATGGGCAGCCGACACCCCCCCACTTGCAAGGGACCCTTCTTCTTCTGCTGACTTTGCAGTTCCCGTTAGTTATCGGCCCTGTGCCGGAGCCCGGGCCGGCTCCCTGCTGCCGCGCCGGGCTCTCCCACGCGCTGCCGAGCTGGCTGCGGTGCTGCCGGGCTGGTCCTGGCTGGAAAGCAGGGATAACCGTTCCTTGCAGGTGTTCAGACCTGAGTTTGCTTTCCTGCTCCACCAGCCTGACCTCACCAGCTTCCAGGTGTCCGTGGGGTGGGAGATGCCCCAGCTCCACTCCCAGCAGGGAGGGAGGGACGAGCATGGCCACGCTGGCTCCCCCCCCCCCGCCCGTCCCAAAAGGAGGTGCCACGTAGGGGTGCCCCCCGGCAGGGGGGGCCGAGCATGCCCCCGCTGGCCCCCCACCCCCTGCCTGTCCAAAGAGGAGCTGCCACGTAGGGCTGCCCGCAGGCAGGGCTGCCCGCAGGCAGGGCTGCCCATGGTTCGCTCCACAGGCAGGGCTGGATGCGGGCTGCCCTTGCCCTGTCTGGGGAGAGCCCTGCCAGGGCTGCGCT